CCCCTTCGCTGCTGGCAGCTTTTCTTCATGTTAACCCATGCATTTCTAGCAGCGTCCAATTCACCCCATTCATTACTAGCAGAGCCTCATTCCATTACCCCCTTTATTGCTACAAGAGGCTCATCCCATTAACTCCTTCATTGTTAACATTTCCCCACCCCCAGTAACCCCTTTTTTACAATAGTACCTCATCCCATTAACTCCTTCAGTGCCAACATTTCTTCACCCCATTATTATTAATATTATACACAGGATTTATATAGCGGCAACAGTTTGCACAGAACTTTTCAAATTATGGTAGACATTACAGTTACAATACAATTTGGTAAAAGAGGAAACAGAGGGTCCTGCTCGTTAGAGCTTACAATCTAGGATTTAACCCCTTCATTACTGAGGCTCCGTTCACACCAGCGCATTTTTTAGTACTTTTTGCAGAAATGCACTACAGTCCATTTAACCTGGTGTCCTATGGGACATGTTCATATCTATGCTTTTTTGAGCTGCTGCATTTTTGGAAAGGGTCAGGGACTTTTTTTTAAAAGCAAAAAGCAGCATTTGTGCTACAATAAAGTTCAATGGAGAATCTGCTGAAATGCATGGTAGTGCTTTTCTGCCGCATTTTGCATTTTTGTTCTGCCCAGCAAAAAAAAAATATCACTTTAAAAAAAAAAAAGCTGAACAAAATGCAAAATGCAGTAAAAATACATTAAAACCCATCAAAAACGCATGTAGAAAAGCACAAAATGAACTACGAAAAGCCCTGCAAGACGGCAAAAAGAAAACTGCATAGTTGCGAACGGAACCTTATAGTGCCTCATCCTATTACCTCAAGCATTGCAAGACCCTTAACCCTTTAATACTGGTTTCTATGTCCTATTAACCCCTTAATTGCTAAGCATTCATCACATTAACCCCATCACTGCTAATATATTATCAAATTGACCCCTTCCTATCTGCCAGTGCCTCATCTCAGTAACCCTTTCATCGCTACATGCTTCTCATCCCATTAACCCTTACAATGCTAACATCGCCTCGTCACATTTACTCCTTCATTGCTGCCAGAGCCTCATCCCATTAACCCTTTCATTGCTAGGTGCTCATCACATTAACCCCATCACTGCTAATCTCATCACATTTACCCCTTCATTGCTGCCAGAGCCTCATCCCATTAACCCTTTCATTGCTAGGTGCTCATCCCATTAACCCCATCACTGCTAATATCTCATCACATTAACCCCTTCATTACAGACAGTGCCTCATCTTATTAACCCTTTCATTGCAGCATACTCTTCATCACAATGACCCCCTTTTTATGAGCTGTCCCTCTGTTAACCCAGTCCTTACCAAATATCATGGCTAACTTTTACACTGTGCAACTGCCCTCCACCCTGCAAAATTATGCACCAACACTTAGATTACTGCCTACATGTCCTCTACAAACTTTTCAGCTCCTCTGGGTGCATGTGAACATCAGGGTAACTATTACCTAGAAGGGATTTATTTATTACTGGTATTATATAGCCCTAAAAATGTACACAGCACCTTACATTCTGTACAAGGAATACCATGTTTTACCCTGTAACACTCTCCTCTTTCTCTTCCAAAGTATGAAAGAGCACCCAAACATGGGATCCCATCAGCTACCACCAAGATTTCTAGGCACTACTCCTCTGTTAAGCCATCATTAGCCATAAATGAAATTCATGCGGTACAGGCTGTACTGGTATATCTGCAGAGATGTCAGACCAGCAGATATCAAGGTTGTGCTGCCCTTCATTGGCAATGAGACTGTGCTCATTAGGATCAAAATGAGCATATAGTGGGTGGCAGGGATTTTAAAGGGACCTTTAAATTCCCTGCCGCCCACTGTATGCTCATTTTGATCCTATACATTTTGGGATGGGTGCTGATATTATCTCATGTTACACCATTTTTTTCTTCAGTAGAGATTGTGCACATAGTTATGACATATAATAGAGGTACATGGGCACAGTGGGGGTTATGAAGGATCCCAGGCAATACCCTGCCATATTCTGGGATGTCTGGGAGGTGGTGTTGTCACAGATTACATTTTTTTCCCCCTATGGCTGTCCTAGAGTAAACTGGAAGTTGCATGCAGCATTCTAAGCTATAGAAATATTTATGTATGGAAGCTGGCTGTGAAATTTGGTGGGCACTGATAGAACCAGCCATAGGAATGTCTGTGGAGGGTTTGCAGACCGTATTCTGGGATGTTTGAAAAACAAAAAAATGGAATAAAAGCACAAAGTTTGAAAGGGTGGCAGTTGTACGGGGGAAAAAGCTGGCTGTAACATCTAGTGATGAAATGGTTAATTAGAAGAGGACTGCAATTCATGAAATATTACTAGAAGGAGATGCTACTAGTGATAAAGAGGGTAGTGTCTTACATTACCAATATTAATGAAGGATTTATTTGAGATAAGGAACTCCTAGTAATGAAGGGGGTTACAGAAGGTTTACAGACAGTATTCTGGGATGTTGGGGACAAAGCACATAATTTGAAAGGGTGCGAGGCAATTGTACAGGGTAAAAACTCACAGTAACACTTGGTAATGAAATGGGTTTCTTAGAACTGCAATTAATGAAAATATTAATACAAGGGGATTCTACTAGTAATAAAAATATTAATTTAGAAATGACCAATATTAATAAAGTAGTTAATGAGATGACATGCTAGTAATGAAAGGGTTAAGAGAACAAAGAGTTTACAGTAATGACAAAAATAAAGGATTTGAGGGGCTGTGTCTAACAAACTGCTTGTAACTGAGGGGTTAATGGAGGCGTAGGACTGCAAAGAAAGAAGGAGATAATGGGGTGTAATGCCCCTAGAAATTCAAGGGTTAATAAAGTCAGCATTCGCTGGCAATGAATGGGGCCCCTGAGATGATCAGCTGCTAATAATACATGGGGCAGGAAAGAAGGAGCTGTCTCCAATGGATGGGTTAATGTTATTAGGCTCTTCTGATAATGAGGGGGATGAGAAGTTGCTAGCAATGAAAGGGTAATGGGGCTGTGTTGCTAGCAATGAAGGGGTTAACAAAAGCAGTTGTTGGTAATGGATGTGGAGCTGCCAATTATAGAAGGTATAACAAAACCTAGAGCTGCTGGTAACCAATGAGTTAATAGTAGGGCATTAAGTAATGAAGGGGTTCGTGAGAGGGGAAACTACTGGTAATAAAGGGGTTAATAATAAAACTAGGAGCTGCTAGCAATCAATGGGATGAGAAGCTGTGATCAGTGAAGGGGTTAATTGGATGGGGGTGCTAGACAGGTATGGAGGGGTTAATTAAAAAACAGTCAGGAGCTGCCAATCTATGAGTTAGGGGGTAATAAAAGGATTAATTGGATGAGATACTGGAAGCAATGAAGGGGTTAATAGGATAGGATACTGGAAGCAATGAAAGGGTTAATAGGATGGGATGCTGTAATTAAGGGGTTAATAGGATGGGATACTGGAAGAAATGAAGGGATTAATCGGATGGGATGCCGGAAGCAATGAAGGGGTTAATTGGATGCTGGAAGCAATGAAGGGGTTAATTGGATGCTGGAAGCAATGAAGAGGTTAATAGGATGGGATACAAAAGAAATGAAGGGGTTAATTGGATGGGATGCTGGAAGCAACGAAGGGGTTCATAGGATGGGATGCTGGAAGCAACGAAGGGGTTAATAGGATGGGATGCTGGAAGCAACGAAGGGGTTCATAGGAAGGGATGCTGGAAGCAACGAAGAGGTTAATAGGATGGGATGCTGGAAGCAACGAAGAGGTTAATAGGATGGGATGCTGGAAGCAACGAAGGGGTTAATTGGATGGGATGCTGGAAGCAATGAAGAGGTTAATAGGAGGGGATGCTGGAAGCAACAAAGGGGTTAATTGGATGGGATGCTGGAGGCAATGAAGGGGTTACTGGATGAGATGCTGGAAGCAATGAAGATGTTAATGGATGGTATGCTGGAGGCAATGAAGGGGTTAATGGATGGGATGCTGGAGGCAATGAAGATGTTAATGGATGGTATGCTGGAGGCAATGAAGGGGTTAATGGATGGGATGCTGGAGGCAATGAAGGGGTTACTGGATGGGATGCTGGAGGCAATGAAGGGGTTACTGGATGGGATGCTGGAGGCAATGAAGGGGTTACTGGATGGGATGCTGGAGGCAATGAAGGGGTTACTGGATGGGATGCTGGAGGCAATGAAGGGGTTACTGGATGGGATGCTGGAGGCAATGAAGGGGTTAATTGAGGGGTCCTGGGAAAACTGTTAAGAATAAAGGAGATAATAAAATGCTGAGCTGCTGGCAATCAATAGGTCAATGTAGTGAGGTGTTGCGGATGAAGAAGGGTTAATCTGCCGAGCCTCTGCTGGGACAGAAAATGTTAATATAAAGGGCCCTCGTTGCTGGCAAATCTCTACAGTCGGCTGATCAATGAAGTCGCCGGCGATCGGGAGCGTGCACAGGGGAGAGAGGTGCCACTGCTCAGTACGGGAAGCGGCGCCGTGCACGCGCGGGGGGGTAGCAGGGATCCCATTGTTCGCGGAACGCCGGCGGCGGCGGCTCCCTCTCCTCCCGGCCGCAGGCTGTCACCGCCCGAGCCAGCCACTTTCCCACGGCCCGCGCGTGCTAACAGACTGCCCTGCAGACTCCGGCTTGGCCCGGCGCCAGACCAATCCGGGGCGAGCGGGGCGGAGCCATCCCCACCTGTCAATCACCGACCTGCCCAGTCCTTTTTAGAATGGGACCGAGCTTCCAAGACTCCTTTGTGGAGCCTGACGTCACCGAGCGGAGGAGGAGGGGGGCGGGACCGTGCCAGGAGAATTATTGGCTACAAGAAGATAATTGTGTTCCAGGAGCAGGCGCCAGAGCTCCCCTCCTCCCCCACTCCGGCTAAGAGGCGAACCGTGGGAAAGGGATGGCTCGCTCATAACCGCGGGGACAGCCGGAGGAGGCAGCACTGGGACAGCAGCACAGCCACCGAGTCACCATGAAGAGGAGCCACGACTACAGCTCATCGGACAGCGAACTGGATGAGAACATCGAGGTGGAGAAGGAGAGCGCGGATGAGAATGGGTGAGAGGAGAACTCCGAATAGAATGCACCCCTCTCCGCTGTCACCCCTCTCCAACATCTCCGACTTTACACCGACTTCTGCTGACTTTACCACATTTCACCATCCCATCGACTGTTCTATACTTGTCTTCTGTATTACATCTTCTACCTTGTATATACTCCTCTTCTGTATTACATCTTCTCCCTTGTATATACTCCTCTTCTGTATTACATCTTCTACCTTGTATATACTCCTCTTCTGTATTACATCTTCTCCCTTGTATATACTCCTCTTCTGTATTACATCTCTACCTTGTATATACTCCTCTTCTGTATTACATCTTCTGCCTTGTATATACTCCTCCCTCTGTATTACATCTTCTACCTTGTATATACTCTCCTCTTCTGTATTACATCTTCTACCTTGTATATACTCCTCTTCTGTATTACATCTTCTACCTTGTATATACTCCTCCTCTGTATTACATCTTCTACCTTGTATATACTCCTCCTCTGTATTACATCTTCTACCTTGTGTATACTCCTCTGTATTACATCTTCTGCCTTGTATATACTCCTCCTCTGTATTACATCTTCTACCTTGTATATACTCCTCTTCTGTATTACATCTTCTACCTTGTATATACTCCTCTGTATTACATCTTCTACCTTGTATATACTCCTCTTCTGTATTACATCTTCTATCTTGTATATACTCCTCTTCTGTATTACATCTTCTGCCTTGCATATACTCCTCTTCTGTATTACATCTTCTACCTTGTATATACTCCTCTTCTGTATTACATCTTCTACCTTATATATACTCCTCTTCTGTATTACATCTTCTACCTTGTATATACTCCTCTTCTGTATTACATCTTCTACCTTGTATATACTCCTCCTCTGTATTACATCTTCTGCCTTGTATATACTCCTCTGTATTACATCTTCTACCTTATATATACTCCTCCTCTGTATTACATCTTCTACCTTATATATACTCCTCTTCTGTATTACATCGTCTACCTTGTATATACTCCTCCTCTGTATTACATCTTCTACCTTGTATATACTCCTCCTCTGTATTACATCTTCTGCCTTGTATATACTCCTCTTCTGTATTACATCGTCTACCTTGTATATACTCCTCTTCTGTATTACATCTTCTACCTTGTATATACTCCTCCTCTGTATTACATCTTCTACCTTGTATATACTCCTCCTCTGTATTACATCTTCTGCCTTGTATATACTCCTCTTCTGTATTACATCGTCTACCTTGTATATACTCCTCCTCTGTATTACATCTTCTACCTTGTATATACTCCTCTTCTGTATTACATCGTCTACCTTGTATATACTCCTCTTCTGTATTACATCTTCTACCTTGTATATACTCCTCCTCTGTATTACATCTTCTACCTTGTATATACTCCTCTTCTGTATTACATCTTCTACCTTGTATATACTCCTCTTCTGTATTACATCTTCTACCTTGTATATACTCCTCTTCTGTATTACATCTTCTACCTTGTATATACTCCTCTTCTGTATTACATCTTCTTCCCTTGTATATACTCCTCTTCTGTATTACATCTTCTACCTTGTATATACTCCTCTTCTGTATTACATCTTCTACCTTGTATATACTCCCTCTGTGTATTACATCTTCTGCCTTGTATATACTCCTCTTCTGTATTACATCGTCTACCTTGTATATACTCCTCTCTGTATTACATCTTCTACCTTGTATATACTCCTCTTCTGTATTACATCTTCTACCTTGTATATACTCCTCTTCTGTATTACATCTTCTACCTTGTATATACTCCTCTTCTGTATTACATCTTCTACATATACTCCTCTGGCACACACCCACTACATGCATTATATATTTGTATATTTACATTTATTATTTACATTTTAATTTTTTTCTCTTTCAGAAACCTGAGTTCCGCCCCAGGTTCGATGTCTCCATCCACCACCTCCCAGATCCTGGCTAGAAAAAGGCGTAGAGGGGTGAGTGTTACTGGCCAAGCTTTGGCAATGCTCAGGGTCACCTACCGGCTTTTTATTTTTATTACTACTACAGGTTCTTCTATAGCACTGACTATTTACATACTGTACATTCACATCAGTCTCTGACCCCAAGAGCTTACAATCTAAGGTCCCTATCTTACATACATGCCTTGGCCAGTTTAGACAGAAGCTAATTAACTTACTAGAACATCTCTGGAAACCCATGCAAGCAGAGAGAGAGAGAGCATGCAAACCCCATGCAGATATTGTCCAGGTTGGGATTTCAACTGAGGACCCCAGTGCTGCAAGGCAGTAATGTCATTTATACTGTCAGGAGGAAAGATCTTCACATCTAGATGATCAGAGCCCTCTTTTCTTTATTAATACAGGCAGCATTGACAATTTACATACTATACATTCACATCAGTCTCTGTCCTTAAGAGCTTACACTCTAAAGTCCCTATTTCACATACATGAATGGGCTAATTTAGACAGGAACCACTTAACCTACCAGAATGTCTCTGAACTGTGGGAGGAAAGCCATGCAAGCACAGGGAGAACATGCCAACTCCATGCAGATATTGTGCAGGTTGGGGTTTGAACTGAGGACCCTGGTGCTGCAAGACTGCAGTGTAATTTATATCCTCAGGATGAAGAGATCTTGTGTAACATACTGCCTGTCTACAAGATCAGAGCCTATCATTCTAGAGGACTGACAATTAACATAGTATACCTTCATATCAGTCTCTGCCCTGAAGGAGCTTAGACTCTAACATCCCTAACTCACATTCTATGACCAACTTACACAGGAGACGATTAACCTACCAGCATGTCTTTGGAGTGTGGGAGGAAACTCAAACTCCATGCAGATAAGGTCCTAGCTGGGATTTGATCCAGGGACCTCAGCACTGCAAGGCAGAAGTCCTAACCACTTAGCCACTGTGCTGCCTTTCTACAGTTGCTGAGATGATGCAGTCATGTGCTCAGTGCTTTGTTTTTGTTACTATTATATATTATATGACAAGCTCTGGTATGATGTTGGCGTTCCTATCAATCATTCATTTATTTATTTTTGCATGATCCATTCTATTGGTTATCATTTCTTTTGGGTCTCCAGAGAAATGTCACAGAATAACAAACCATTGTAGAGTCCCGATTTATACGAAGTGCTGAGCCTGTCTCTTTCTGCTCCTTTGTAGATCATAGAGAAGCGTCGCCGGGACAGGATTAATAATAGCCTGTCTGAGCTCAGAAGACTGGTGCCCAGTGCGTTTGAAAAACAGGTACGGATTTTATTACCACTACTACAACCGCTGTCAGCAGACAGCTCCATTCTGGATGATTTTACAATACAATTATTGAAATGACTTTTTTACGGCTTTCTATTTTATTGCTTTGCTGTGTTTTATAGAAAACAGAAACGTAGCGTTTTATAGTCTTTGTCACTTTCACAAATTCAAAGATTTTTTTTTTTCTACTTTCTCAGGGTTCTGCGAAATTGGAGAAAGCTGAGATTTTGCAGATGACGGTGGATCATCTTAAGATGCTGCACACTGCTGGGGGCAAAGGTAAATGTGTGATTATGCAGCATCTAAATGACTTTTCTGTTCCCATTATTGTCTTCAAGTGCACCAGGCTAAGGTCATAGTCCTATCTGAAACAATGACTCTGCAACACTTTCACTTATTTAAACTTTAATAGACTTTTTTCTGCACTCATTACTACTTGTGTTTACCTGGGATAGCGATCATCACTGCCAGCCCGGGTTCTTTATGGAAAATCACTGATTATTCACTTTTTCTCTACAAGCCATGATTAATAGTTCAGTATAGTTTCTTATACAAAATTATAGAGACAACAGTTGCACCATGGAAGTGTCCTCAGTTTATTTGATAGTCTGGGCTGGGGGCAGCTATATCCAGAGCTGTAAAACAGGCTGCCAACCCACAAATAGACAAACTTGTTTACTGAGCTTGTATAGGTATTCACCTTAGCTTGGGGTTTTATTTTAGTGTGCTGTAGATCCTGGAACAACTGTTGTGGCAGTACATATATATGCTAAACATTCGATCAGCATTTTTAACCTTTTACCCCTGAGGAACCCCTAAAATAATTTTCAGGTCTGGGGAAACCCTTTTTTAAAATAAATTGTTTTGGGGGCAATGGCAGAAAATGCCCTTTACATTGGTGGTTAATGAGAAGACAGTCTCCTTTCATCAGTGCTCAGTGGGAAGAAGGTACCCCTTGCATTGGAGGTCAGTAGGACAGTGAGAAGAAGGTCCCCTTGCATTGGAGGTCAGTAGGGACAGTGAGAAGGTCCCCTTGCATTGGAGGTCAGTAGGACAGTGAGAAGAAGGTCCCCTTGCATTGGTGGGCAGAGGGAAGAAAGTCCCCTTACATCAGTGTTCAGTGGTAAGAAGGTTCCTTTGCATTGGAGGTCAGTGGGACAGTGGGAAGAAGGTTCCCTTGCATTGGTGGGCAGAGGGAAGAAAGTCCCATTGCATTGGTTGGCAGTGGGAAGAAGGTCCCCTTGCATTGGTGGGCAGTGGGAAGACCGTCCCCTTAAATCGGTGTTCAGTGGTAAGAAGGTTCCTTTGCATTGGAGGTCAGTGGGACAGTGGGAAGAAAGTCCCCTTGTATTGGTGGGCAGAGGGAAGAAAGTCCCCCTGTATTGGTGGGCAGAGGGAAGAAAGTCCCCTTGTATTGGTGGGCAGAGGGAAGAAAGTCCCCCTGTATTGGTGGGCAGAGGGAAGAAAGTCCCCTTGTATTGGTGGGCAGTGGGAAGGGCAGTGGGAAGAAGGTCCCCTTGTATTGGTGGGGGCAGTGGGAAGAAGGTCCCCTTGCATTGGTGGTTAATGAGAAGAAGGTCCCCTTACATCAGTGGTTAGTGGGAAAGAAGGTCCCCTTGCATTGGTGGGCAGTGGAAGGAAGGTCCCCTTGCATTGGTGGGCAGTGGGAGGAAGGTCCTCTTACATTGGTGGGCAAGAGGAAGAAGGTCCCCTTACATTGGTTGGAAGAAGGCTCCCTTACATCGATGGGCAGTGGGAATAAAGTTCCCTTACATTGGTGAGCAATTGGAAGAATGTCTCCTTACATTGCTGGAGAGTGGGAAGAATGTCCCCTTACATCGGAGGTCAGTGGGAAGAATGTCCCCTTACAGTGGTGGCCCCCACCCCTTTAAAGAAAGCTAAAAATATAGTTGGTGTCATGCTGTTGGCTTTGCTAAAAGGTGTTGGTCCTAGAACTATGCAAGCACAAATGAGTGGTCATCAGTTATAGCTCAATGAACCCCTAGCAAACTCTGGAGGAACCCTGATTGAGAATGGCTGCATCGGATCTTTTGAGTGGAGAAGAAATATCTTGCAGCTTTCCTTCAACTGCTTTGTAATGTTATATTTTCATTTAGAAATCAAATATAAAGAAGTTTTCTAGAATATGTAGCTATATTACATTGCAAATGATAAAACTTTGTTTAACACAGATTACCCAGAATGCGTGATTTATGTTGCAATTGTATTTGTTGTAGGATATTTTGATGCCCACGCTCTTGCCATGGACTATCGAAGCTTGGGTTTCAGAGAGTGCCTTGCTGAAGTTGCCCGATATTTAAGTATAATTGAAGGTATGGACACTGCCGACCCTCTCCGAGTGCGACTGGTATCTCATCTTAACAACTATGCCACTCAAAGAGAAGCTGCCAACAGTGCCCACTCCAGCCTCGGACACATTCCCTGGGGGGGAGCCTTCACTCATCATCCTCACCTCTCTCACCCTTTGCTCCTGGCACAGACTCCTCATACAAACAGCAGCAGCACAACGTCTTCCACAGAGTCCCACCACCAAAGCAGACTTCCTGGGTCACCGCATGCAGAATCGCCAGCTTTGCGCGTCTCCTCCAATGGAAGCCTTACATCAGTGCTGCCAGTCGTCACTCCTTCAAAACTCTCTCCTCCACTGTTGTCCTCTGTGGCATCCCTCTCTGCATTCCCCTTTTCCTTTGGATCTTTTCACTTACTCTCCCCCAATGCACTGAGTCCAACAGCACCAGCGCCCGCAGGCAAACCCTACAGACCTTGGGGGACTGAGATTGGAGCCTTTTAAGACCTTTTTTTTAAATTAGAAACTCTTTAGTTTTCATGCAGGGGGTGATCTGAAGGGGGTTTGGAAAGTCCAGCTGTGCTGGGCTTCTACTGCTGACTTTATAAAGCCAACCTGGGTGATCTGATGGTACCATTGCAAAACAATTTGTCTTTTTAAAAGATCCCTAAAAATATTTTCTTTTTCTTCTAATGACCGTTATTGATAAATATACCTTTCTGTATCAGGATGAACACAGGCCCTGGCTCAATATTTAACTTGCTTTGTAATGTAATAATTTCAGTTTATGTCATGACATTGAGACAGTTTAACCAATAGTTTAGTGTTTTGGCATTTTTTTTTCTATTAAAACAATGATGTCTTAGCCTTTAATTTGTGGAAATCTGCATTCAGAAATAACAGTGTTTTTATTTGCTAATCTTTTTTTTGAGTTGTGATATTCTTCATTTGTTGACTGTTCTTGCTTTTTTTTTTTTTTTTTGGAGTTATATATTGCCAAGCGTTGACAAATCACGTTTACCAGCTTTGCCCGAGTGCACCAAAGTTGGTACAAGACTCCGCTCCTTCCCTACATGAATCTGGGAAGTCCATACTTTTAAACAGAGTCCCTAACTTCTAATATATTGGATGGTCTCCTGCACTAGAACTTTATTTAACAAGTAGACTAATTTAAGAAGACCTGCTATGTTTGTACATATTCCCTTCTGTGCATGGAAGAGGCACTACCCGAAAGGTGGTCTCTACTGTATTGGGTTCAATCACTGTTGTACTGGTCTACTGTGACTAAATAAAAAAAAAAGTCAGAGTGTGCTATTTTAAATCTAATGTGTTTCATGTTTTTCTTTTTTATTATTATAATGCTATTCTTCTGTATTTTCTGTATTTCCATCTTTTGTAGCAGACATTCTCATCCATGGTTCTGTGGAACCCTAAGGTTCTTCCAGAGATTGCTAAGGGTTCATTGAGCAGTGGCTGGTTGATCTCCAATTTGGTGGTAATAGCATAGTTTCAGGTCCTACACCACTTGGCAGAACCAGCTGCATGACACCATCGATCTTTTTAGCTGTCTGTAAGGGTGGCATTCTGACCACAACTGTTAGAGAGCATTCTTTCCACTGACACCCATGCAAAGGGAAGTTTTCCCACTGACCAGCAATGAATTGGTTTTAACAGGGGTTCCTTGAGACCTTAAAATTATTTCAAGGGTTCCTCTGTGGTTGCCTTACAGATGAACAATTTCTGTTGTCAAAAATGCCAATCCTAGATGATCTCTGAATGTAGCTTCATTTGGAATTTGTCAGTGATCTTTCCAAGACAGTTGGGGATTGGTTTACTAAAGCTGGAGCACTCGGAATCTGGTGCAGCTCTGCATGGTAGCCAATCAGATTCTGACTTCAACTTGTTCAATTAGGCATAGGCACTAAAACTTGGAAGCTGATTGGTTTCTATGTAGAGCTGCACTAGATTTGGCACTTTTCAGTTTTAGTAAATAACCCCTTGGTTTTGTTGTCATGTTACATACACATGGCATAGGAGATATCTCGGTCCTGAAAGTAACACTTCCAACCATACAATCGAAATATAAAAATGTTTATGAATATTATAATTATATTACAATACAAATGGTATTAAAGTTTGCAGCATTTCATACCTTTTGTGCACCTAAAACCGATGTTTAATAAAGGTAGGCATAGGGCCAAAGGCACATCCACTGGCTGCCAGCTAAATTGTAATGGAAACCTTATTACTTTATTTGTCATGTTACTGTGGTCAAATGACTCGAATTTAGCTGAATTCTCTACTGTCCATATAGCTGCCAGCTATGATCGCTAGTTACAAGTATGTTAAAGATCTGACATAGGCAGCATGGCGCTCCCTCTAGTAGTGGAATTGAAAATTACATCATCAGACATAGGGGAGGGGGGAGATTTACTAAAACTGAAGTGTGCAAAATCTGGTGTATCTGTGCATGCTAACCGAACAGCTTCCAGGTTTAATGTCAAAGCCTAGTTGGACAAGCTGAAATTAGAAGCTGATTGGTTATTATGCACAGCTGCATCAGATTCTGAGTGCTCCAGTTTTAGTAAATCCCCCCCCATAGTCCCCTGGTGTCAATTCTGTACACTGTAGATGGTGACCCATAATTGAATTCACCTTCATTCTATTGTTTGTAACTAGAGATGAGAAATTTGATTTATAGGTAACAGCAAATCTAACGAAACTCTGGCAAATCTTGGCAAAACTTTCATGTTTTCTGTTGCCCTCTATTTCTATGAGTCTGTCGGCTCATTCACACCTAAGTGTTCCATTGCAGTGCTTTAATGTGTACGGTCTAAGGCAACCCATTCTTTATGAATAGGCAGCCAATGCACCACAGCATTCTACTTTTTTACAATGCAGCTCACTGCAACTCACAGTATATGGGTTGTGGTGCACTGCAGTGTGTTGGGCTCCTTTAGCCAATGCATTGAGGTGCCATTCACAATGAATAGCAGCACACTGCACATAGAGAAAGTGTGATTGAGCCCTTTAAGTCTAACTAAAGGCAAAATTTTTTTTTCAGTTTTGGATAGAGTCAAATTAGAACCCCTGTTAGGTTTTTATTCCTGTCTTGTTAGGGAGATTCATCCTCTCTATTTGTCCTGGTGACTTATCACAGAGAGTGAAAGTAAAAGAAAATCACCAGAACAGGAATAGAGGGGAAATCTTCTATTGGGAACACTAGTGGTGACAGTCTTGGATTCTCCCACATTGGAGGGATTTCCTCTCACTTCTTGGTTTGGCTGTGGGACAGGAAGTGAAGGAGAATCTCTCCAATGGGACTATAAATTGTCAGCTTATAACCCTCTCTTACTCTGTCCAAAGTGGAAAAAAGTATTGCCTTCAGTTTTACTTTACCATCCCTGTAGATGGACATTACATGATCTGGGAGTAAATAGGATGTCTATGAATGGCATCAGATCTTGGCGTGGTAATGGCCAAGTTTTTTTTCTTTTCAAGAGATTGTTGTTCTACATCAGGGGTGCTCTTCCTTTTGAAGAACGAGGGCCACTTATGTGATTTGGTGACCACAATGAAATGAAACGGAATATCAATTTTTTGTTTTTTCAATTTTGAATAGCGTAATCAACATTTTTCTCCTGTAACCGCTAATTGCCAGTGACAGGGAGAGGAGGAGAAGCAAGCTTTCAGCAGTTGCATAAGGAAAATGGAGAGGATCGGCACCTGTATATGTCACCCCGCCTGTCCAAGTGTAAAACAGAATGTAACAGGGAGTCTGCATGGGTCCCCTGGATCACAGGGCAAGGTCACCATTGCAACCAATGTCACTACACCAGTGGGTGGGGGTGTGTGGTAAAAACACGTCTCAACTATGGGGATTTACATCCAACCCCCAAACTGAAAATGTAAATGGGGCCTTAGTGTCCTGAGCCCCTTTCACACAGCTGCTTTCACACTGATGCACTGAGGTTTACCCCCACTGCGATTGCAGTGCAGTGCACCTGCAGGTTAGCTGTGCTTTGCCATAGGTTTCTATTATAGCTTGCAGATGTAGTGCACTTTTTGAAAGTGCACCAAAACTCCTGCATTCAGTTTGAGGTGGAGGACCACTTCAGAGGACTCTGAGGGCCACATGTTGAGCACCCCTGTTCTGCTTGATTCCTGATTCCTGTTGCCCAAGTGTATAACAGTGTCATGACTGTGTATGTTTTTCTTGCTGGAAAATAAGATTCTGAAGGGCTCAGATCTACACACCATCTAATATCTGTGGCCAGTGTAGGGGCCTCCATTGGAATTAAAGGCCTGTTGGCAAAGCAGGCATAATCCAATGCTCTCATGCATTTTATTAAGCTGCCTGGTCCCAGAACCATGGGATACATGGTTAAAACCATAGGTCCATGGGTAAACATGGACAGTCACATTGTGAGACCTACTGGACAGATCGGGAAAATGTCATTGAATACCTATGGAGTCCGTGGTGATGTACAGATATACTGTATCTAAAGGTAACTCTTTTTACTTTGTTCTGGATAGAGTTGGGAGGGATTAGGACCCCACCACTATAGTTTTTTTGACTACTGTCACTGGGAAGGAAAGTTAGGCAAAAATCCAAAATTCAGTTACTACTGGGACAGTTAGAGAGGAAATCTTCCAATGGGAATGTTCCTGTGACAACTTTTTAGGAGGGAACCTACCTTGCTTTGGTTTGATATCCTCTCACCATTGGGTTTGCATTAATTCTCATCTCTCTAGTGGGAGATAAAAGATTATAAAAAACTTATATGGATTTGAACCATCCCGTACTATATTTAAACAAAAAAAAAAAAGTTTTGCCTTTAGATATATTTGAAGGTTGGCTATAGAATTGTGAGAAGATTCTTTTAATATTCAATGAACACTATTTTATAGTGTTATAAATACAAAAACAATAATGACAAAGTAGAAATATTGGTCAGACTGATCGATGGAAGGTCAGATGATGATGATTATTATACAGGATTTATATAGCGGCAACAGTTTACACAGCGGTTTACAATATAAAGGGGGACAGTACAATTACAATACATTTCAGTACAGAAGGAATAGGAGGGCCCGGCTCATGGAGCTTACAATCTAAAGGAAAGGGGAGGTGGTACAAAAGGTGATAGCTGCAGGGGATGATCTGATGGAGGTGACTCAGCTTTGATAACTTATCAGTAAAATATAGGATACAGGACAATCACAGTTCTAAAGATAAATGATATTGTGTAAAGCACAAATGATGGGAAAAAAAACCAATTACCCTAAAAACTATACAAGTCACATAGGGGGTTATTTACTAAAACTGGAGAAAGCGAAATCTGGTGCAGCTCTGCATAGAAACCAATCAGCTTCCAAGTTTATTGCCAAAGCTTAATCGAACAAGCTGAACTAAGAAGCTGATTGGCTCCTGTGCACAGCTGCACCAGATTCTGTTTGCTCCAGTTTTAGTAAATCTCCCCCATAGAGTGATCACACAATGT